GGAGATCGTTACAAATGAGGTTCCAGAAAAATTGAAAGAACTCGGCAGGAAAGCCATCCGGGCCAGCCGCTCTGTTGCGCTTCATAGAAAATAACGCATTTTTAACTTCATCCATAGTAAATTTGCAACTGAGCTCAACCTTATCCTCTTCTGACAAAACATCATCAAGAGGGATACACAGAGATATAGGGGGTAAATCTACATGACCAAATAAGTCCTTATAGAAATTAGTTGCATATTTGAGCAAGTTATCATCCCCCTGGATGATCCCTTCATCCTGGATAAGTCGAAAGATTTTACTCTTGCGCTTCCGCCCACTAGCCTTAATCATAAAATACCTAGTGTTGCTATCCCCTTCTTTGATATCCCTCTCCTTCGAGCGTTGATACCATTTTATCTCTTCCTCTCTAAGAATTTTATTCAAATCATTTTGCAAACTATTTCTTTGCACATAGTCAGCTGCTGATACACCAGCAAGCTCACACTTCTTATCAAGTATATCTAAAGCGTTAATAATAAAAATATTCTTTCTCCTGTAACTACCCTCAACATTAAGGTTCCAGCCCTTGAGCCCGCTTCTTAATTTTCTCATAACAGCCTGCCACCACTCCATGCTGTTTTTATTAGGAGCGATAGAGTTCCAAATTCTAGAAACAACGGCCGGCAACTCATCTCTAACAAGCCAGCAAAGCTCAATTTTAAAAGGCCTGATAGCTACAGCATCTACAACTCCAGTATGTACCAAAAGAGCAGCATGATCAGAGACACCTCTAACGAGTGTCCTGACCGTAACTAAAGGAAAATGTTGTTCCCAAGATGGGCTAACAAGAATCCTATCTAGTTTTACATACAAGGGGTCGTCCTGGTTATTAGACCAAGTAAAGCTCCTCCCTGAGAGCTCTAACTCTTTTAGCCCCCAGTGTTCAATGATGGAATTAAAGTAAAAAGACCAAATAGGGAGTTTTTTTAGCTTTACTTCTCTCATTGATCCTCCTAATGATATTGAAATCACCACCAATAACAAGGGGCAATTTATTATGACCTAACATATGGACAAAATCGATCAGGAAGTCCTTCTTGTCTTTGGTATGAGCAGCCCCGTACACATTGATCAAAGTCCACTTGAAACCCGATCTCTTATCTATAACGATCATACTGGTAAAAAACCTACTAGCAATGCACGTGTCGACCTCAAACAGGTCCTCCCTGACACCCATGAGGAGCCCACCCGAGGCTCCTACAGAGGGTTGCCAAAGCCAAACGAAAGTAAAACTGCCACCGATACTAGCTAACATGGCATAGCTGTCAGGAACTAATAAATATTCCTCCATTTATTAATAGGTATGGATATAGATAGATAAATAGATAGATAAAATGGAAAACAGAAAAAATGAAAGAAAAAATAAAAATAAAACAAAATCGCTGAAAATCAGACAAAACAGTGAAAACCTCGAAGCAAAAAACCACAGAAGAAAAAAAACGCAGGAAAACAGCAGCGAACAAACAACACACGAATTACGTACGTGGGCCGGCCCAACTATAGGCTCGCTTCAGCGAAGCCATGCCTATTTTCCCGGGCACCCCTACGGAAAACCCTATTGGACGCTCGTTGCGTCCAGTTGTCGAGGCTTCGCACAGAGAAGCGAGCGACTAGCGATCAAGATGGGCCGGCCCAGTCACGAGATAGCACAGGCGCTACAGCGTCCCGGTTTTTGGGAACCTTCTAGAGGGTTCCTGAACGGTTTTGGGAACCTTCTGGAAGGTTCTTGAACCGGGTTTTCACTGGTTTTTTCTGTTTGCTTTTTCTTTATAGTTTTTTCTTTCTTTTCTTTTTCTTTCTTTGTTTTTCTGTTTCTTTATTTCATCTTTCAATTCCTTTTTCTTTTCTTTTTATTTTCTTTTTGTTCATGTTTCAAGTTATGTTTGGGAGTTTCAAAAAATAATCCAATTTCAAAATTTGTTCACCAAATTCAAAAAATGTTCATGTTTTCAAATTTTGCTGCGAGTTTCCATAAATGTTTCCATTTAAAAAATTGTTCGCAAATTGCAAAAAATGTTCATGCTTCAATTTTGTTCGGGAGTTTCGAAAAAATGTACGCAAGTTTTAAAAACTGTTCATGTGTTCAAGTTTTGTTTGGGAGTTTCAAAAAATGTTCCAAGTTTTAAAAAATGTTCAAGTATCCAAAATTTGTTTTTGAATTTGAAAAATGTTCGGGTTTTGGGAGACTTTACAAAAATGTTCCCATTTCCAAAAATTGTTTGCATTTTTCGAATTGTTGAATTTTTACAAATTTTGATCTCAATTTCTAAAAGTGTTCGCTGTTTCATACAACCTTCATGTTTTTTTTCTCAAAAATAGCGTTTCTCAAAAATGTTCGCACTTCCAAATTTGTTTGGAATTTTTCAAAATTGTTCTCTATTTTAAAATATGTTCTCAAGAAACAAAAAATGTTCGTGCTTTACAAAATTGTTCATGCTTCCAAATTTGTTCAGGATTTTTCAAAATTGTTCTTCGTTTCAAAATTTGTTCTCAAGGTTCAAAAAATGTTCGTGCTTCAAAAAATAATCCGCGCTTCCAAATTTGTTCTCAAGATTCAAAAATCGTTCATGCTTCATAAAAATGTTCACAAACTCCAAAAATGTTCAATTTCCGAAAAATGTTTGGGAAATTCAAACTTTTCGGTTTTCATAAAATTTGTTCACATGTTCAAAAAATGTTCATGTTTCAAAATTTGTTTACAAATTCAAAAAATTGTCCACATGTTTATTTACTAATTCAAAAAATTGTTCCTCTTTCCGAAATTTGATCACATATTCCAAAAAATATGTGAACAATGAAATTTACAAGCTCTATGTCAAAAAATATCCAAAAATTTGTTCACATGTTAAAATACTGTAGGATGATTTACAAGCTCTACGTCAGAAATTTCTTTTTGAGATTGTAACATGCAAGGACAATGAAATTCAGCTGCCGTTAGTAACTTCTTTCCTGCAGAGACATGTAAGTTCTCTATTTTTTTTCTCTCCTATGGAAACAAAAGAGATGTTATTTTCTTAGAGCCCGTTCTTTCATACCGAACAGTGAAATTAATTTCTTCTAATCGCGTATATGTTTCTTCTAATTCTTCTTTCTATTCTCATGGGTCTCATTAATATTGTCACCTTCAAGGGAAGTGCACTGCAAGATTCAACTCAAAGGAATACTTCCATGGGAAAAATATTTCCTTACCGATAGAGCTATCTTTTTTTTCTCTTGCTGATCTAGTGATAGTTTCTTCCAAGACCTTCAACTGTAAACAATGTCCGAAAACAGCTGAAACAGTTATGAAAACGAGCAGTAAGACATGTACATTTTTTTTGTCTTTCATGACGCCTTGGTGATACTATCATCACTCAATTTCATCAAGATGTAAGCTTACCATTTTTATGACAGTTTTAGAAGTACCACTTTGTAATAAATGTAAAATGAAATTTCATGTTTTTTTATAATTAAAAACTAGTTGAATCAATAGGAATAGCACCTGGTTTCATAAAAATGGAACCTACAACCATTGTTTAGTAAATTCAAGGTTTTTGTCTTTCATGTTTCTTTGGGAAACAGTTGAAACTGTACCATTGTTTAGTTTATACAAGGAAAACAGAAGAAACAGTAGAAACATAAGAAACAGTGGAAAACAGCAGGGACAACAATTAGTGGAACAGCTTCGCGAAGCAGAATCAACGAAGCGGTAGAAACAGTTCAAAACCAGGGAAACGCGCGCCTTGCGGCCCACAAAGCCCGCCAGTCAGCTGCTCCTATGTGAAGCCGCACCTAGTTGACGCAGAATGCGTCACATAGGAGTTCCCCACCCCTATATCTTGCCACGAAGGGCGAGTGAGATGGATCGGCCCACGCGCGGGGGGCACAGCCTCTTTTTCGTTGTTTTACGTTTTTTGCTTTCTGTTTTTGCTTTATTTTGTACTTTTGTTTATACTTTAAAATACTCTACAAAAAAAATGTTGAACAAGTATTTGAAAAAAATTGAGCGAGTATTTGAAAACTGTTGAATGAGTATTTGAAAAATGTTGAGTGATTATTTGAAAATTTTAGAATATGTATTTGAAAAATGTTGAACAAGCATTCGGACAATGTTGAATGTGTATAGAATTTTTTTTGATCATGTATAAAAAATGATGATTTTTTTGTTCAAGTATATAAATATTAATCAAACATTTCAAAAATGTTATACAAGTATATGAAAGATTTTAATCAATCATTTCGGAAATGTTAAATGTGCATATAAAAAATGTTGACCATGTATTAAAAATGATAAAAATTTCATCATGTATATAAAAATGTTAAACAAGCATTTGAAAAAATGTTGAAAAGGTGTTTGAAAAATGTTAATCAAGCGTTTGGAAAATGTTAAATGTGTATAGAAAAAATCTTTTTATTTGAAAAATATTACTCAATCATTTGAAAAATGTTTAAAATGTATATAAGAAAACGCATTTTTCATAAACCAGTAAAACTTGTATTTAAAAAGGAGAAAAATGATGAAAAAAACAGTAAAAAACCGGACCGTGTCGCCTCAAGTATGACGCGCCATAGATTTCATCAATACGTCCGACATGAGCACAATGGTTAGCTGCTCTTCTTATTACCCGCCGGCGGGACGCAAATAGCAGTATTGGCCTGTGTGATGTGTGAACATACCCATTCACAAATTCAGGGGGCGGCCCATCACCTTTTGCCCCGCCCTCCCCAATATTAGTCACTTCTTTGTATTTTGGACGTGAACAGTAATTTTTTTGTTATGTTTTCTTAATCAGGCCCCCCTCAAAATCATAAATTTATGATTCCTGCCTCCGCCACTGCTCCCTCCACGCCTCTCCAGCCGAAACTCAAATCTTTTCATCCCTCCCTCTCATTCCCCTCCCCCACCTCCGGTACAAATACCCAAACCAGACACCTCGCCGCCTAGGCATAGCTCATTACCGTGCCCGGATTCCGAGAGCGGATGCTCTTCTCTTCTCTTCTCTTCTCCGAGATGGCAGTTGACCACGCCGACAAGGAGAATCTGCCGCCTTCAACCGCCGCCGTCGCCCGTCCTCATGTCGTAGCTGTCAGGAGCTGCAAGCTGAAGCTGCTCGGGAGGGCGCAGTGGCGGGTGCCGCTCAGGGACATCACCAACCTCTTCGTTGCCGGGTCTGCGGTTGCCGAGTGGCAGCAGGCCCTGCTCCAGCAGCCGCGGCACGAGGGGTCAGCGGCGGCGGAGCTGGCCGTGAAGATTGGCCCTGCCGGTGGTGCGGCACTGAAGCCTGGCAGATACTTGCTCCGGAAGGAGTTTAGATAGCTACAGATTGTATATGTATTATACTTCCCATCTCCTTGTCCAATGATTCGTTGGACAAGATTTGGTTGGATTGATTATAGTAGGAAATGAGAGGCTGAAAGAAAAAAAGAAATACTAGTAAAAAAAATATGCCAAATTGGTGAACGTCTGTCATTCTGAATCGGAATCTGGAACTCTCAAGCATGTTTTGAGAAATTGTAGTTGGACTTGAGATTTGCTTCTCCACTTCTCTAGCTGACATTCACAAAATACTGCCCGTATTTTCTATGTCTTGTGTACGCGATTTTGAATGCTGCTGGCAGTGTGTGTGTTTTTTCCTTCTAGATTTGTCATCATCTGGTCTTTGTGTCATATTATGAGTGGTGGCGTATCCACAAGCTTTTGACTTATGATGTTCTTTTATTTGATTGCCTTTCGGGTTTCAGTTCTTTTTAGCCTTTTTCTTCAGATTTTACAGTGACTCCCGGTTGATGCGTCTAAATTGGAGTCAGTAGTTGCCAAGCTTTGTTAACATATTCTACTCTTATTTATTTTCTGTTTTCTTTTTTGTGAGTTCTCTTATATAATGAGGTGATCTCCATGAATTTACAGCCACATTTCATTGACAATCGTGCTCAAGAGACTCCAAAGATGTCAGGATTGTCCGAGTCTATACTAGAGCATCTACAACCGGGCTCCCCAAACTGCCCTCAAACGCCTGGGCGGGATGACCGGTCAGTGATTGATCACAAAAAAATCAACCCAGCCGAGCGCCTCAAACGAGTCTCAAACGTCCGGCCTAACCGGCACCCCTCATATCCAGCCCAAATATGGGGTGTATATGGGGCGCCCGGGCGTGTCCGCCGCGTAGGACTGACGATGGGGTCGCACGCGGGTGAAGGAAATATGCCCTAGAGGCAATAATAAAGTTATTATTTATTTCCTTATATCATGATAAATGTTTATTATTCATGCTAGAATTGTATTAACCGGAAACATAATACATGTGTGAATACATAGACAAACAGAGTGTCACTAGTATGCCTCTACTTGACTAGCTCGTTGATCAAAGATGGTTATGTTTCCTAACCATAGACATGAGTTGTCATTTGATTAACGGGATCACATCATTAGGAGAATGATGTGATTGACTTGACCCATTCCGTTAGCATAGCACTTGATCGTTTAGTTTGTTGCTATTGTTTTCTTCATGACTTATACATGTTCCTATGACTATGAGATTATGCAACTCCCGTTTACCGGAGGAACACTTTGTGTGCCACCAAACGTCACAACGTAACTGGGTGATTATAAAGGTGCTCTATAGGTGTCTCCGAAGGTACTTGTTGGGTTGGCGTATTTCGAGATTAGGATTTGTCACTCCGATTGTCGAAGATGTATCTCTGGGCCCTCTCGGTAATGCACATCGCTTAAGCCTTGCAAGCATTGCAACTAATGAGTTAGTTGCAGGATGATGTGTTACGGAACGAGTAAAGAGACTTGCCGGTAACGAGATTGAACTAGGTATTGAGATACCGATGATCGAATCTCGGGCAAGTAACATGCCGATGACAAAGGGAACAACGTATGTTGTTATGCGGTCTGACCGATAAAGATCTCCGTAGAATATGTGGGAGCCAATATGAGCATCCAGGTTCCGCTATTGGTTATTGACCAGAGACGTGTCTCGGTCATGTCTACATTGTTCTCGAACCCATAGGGTCCGCACGCTTAAGGTTTCGATGACAGTTATATTATGAGTTTATCAGTTTTGATGTACCGAAGGAGTTCGGAGTCCCGGATGAGATCGGGGACATGACGAGGAGTCTCGAAATGGTCGAGACGTAAAGATCGATATATTGGACGACTATATTCGGACATCGGAAAGGTTCCGAGTGATTCGGGTATTTTTCAGAGTACCGGAGAGTTACAGGAATACGTATTGGGCCTTATTGGGCCATACGGAAAAGAAGGAAAAGGGCCTCAAGGGTGGCCGCACCCCTCCCCTTGGTCTGGTCCGAATTGGACTAGGGAAGGTGGGGGGCGCCCCCTTCCTTCCTTCTCCTTTTCCCTTCCTCTTTTCCTATTCCATATGGGAGGTGGAATCCTACTAGGACTAGGGAGTCCTAGTAGGACTCCACACTTGGCGCGCGCCCTCCTAGGGCCGGCCTCCTCCTCCCTTGATCCTTTATATACAGGTGCAGGGGGCACCCCAAAGACACAACAATTGATCATTGATCTTTTAGCCGTGTGCGATGCCCCCTTCCACCATAATCCTCGATAATATTATAGCGGTGCTTAGGCGAAGCCCTACGACGGTAGAACATCAAGATCGTCACCATGCCGTCGTGCTGACGGAACTCTTCCCCGACATTCTGCTGGATCGGAGTCCGGGGATCGTCATCGAGCTGAACGTGTGCTAGAACTCGGAGGTGTCGTAGTTTTGGTGCTTGATCGGTCGGGCCGTGAAGATGTACAACTACATCAACCATGTTGTGCTAACGCTTCCGCTTTCGGTCTACGAGGGTACGTAGACAACACTCTCCTCTCTTGTTGCTATGCATCATCATGATCTTGCGTGTGCGTAGGAAATTTTTGAAATTACTACGTTCCCCAACAATGTCATCCGAGCCTAGGTTTTATGCGTTGATGTTATGCACGAGTAGAACACAAGTGAGTTGTGGGCGATATAAGTCATACTGCTTACCAGCATGTCATACTTTGGTTCGGCGGTATTGTTGGATGAAGCGGCCCGGACCGACATTACGCGTACGCTTACGCGAGACTGGTTCTACCAACGTGCTTTGCACATAGGTGGCTGGCGAGTGTCAGTTTCTCCAACTTTAGTTGAACCAAGTGTGGCTACGCTCGGTCCTTGCGAAGGTTAAAACAGCACCAACTTGACAAACTATCATTGTGGTTTTGATGCGTAGATAAGTACGGTTCTTGCTAAGCCCGTAGCAGCCACGTAAAACTTGCAACAACAAAGTAGAGGACGTCTAACTTGTTTTTGCAGGGCATGTTGTGATGTGATATGGTCAAGACATGATGCTAAATTTTATTGTATGAGATGATCATGTTTTGTAACCGAGTTATCGGCAACTGGCAGGAGCCATATGGTTGTCGCTTTATTGTATGCAATGCAATCGCGTTGTAATGCTTTACTTTATCACTAAGCGGTAGCGATAGTCATGGAAGCATAAGATTAGCGAGACAACAACGATGCTACGATGGAGATCAAGGTGTCACGCCGGTGACGATGGTGATCATGACGGTACTTCGGAGATGGAGATCACAAGTACAAGATGATGATGGCCATATCATATCACTTATATTGATTGCATGTGATGTTTATCTTTTATGCAGCTTATCTTGCTTTGATTGACGGTAGCATTATAAGATGATCCATCACTAAATTATCAAAGTATAAGTGTTCTCCCTGAGTATGCACCGTTGCGAAAGTTCTTCGTGCGGAGACACCACGTGATGATCGGGTGTGATAGACTCTATGTTCAAATACAACGGGTGCAAAATAGTTGCGCACGCGGAATACTCAAGTTAAACTTGACGAGCCTAGCATATAACAGATATGGCCTCGGAACACGGAGACCGAAAGATCGAGCGTGAATAATATAGTAGATATGATCAACATAGTGATGTTCACCATTGAAACTACTCCATCTCACGTGATGATCGGACATGGTTTAGTTGATTTGGATCACGTGATCACTTAGAGGATTAGAGGGGTGTCTATCTAAGTGGGAGTTCTTAAGTAATATGATTAATTGAATTTTAATTTATCATGAACTTAGTCCTGGTAGTATTAGCATATCTATGTTGTAGATCAATAGCTCGTGTTTAGCTCCCCTGTTTTATTTTTGATATGTTCCTAGAGAAAACTAAGTTGAAAGATGTTAGTAGCAATGATGCGGATTGGATCCGTGATATGAGGTTTATCCTCATTGCTGCATAGAAGAATTATGTCTTTGATGCACCGCTAGGTGACAAACCTATTGTAGGAGCAGATGCAGATGTTATGAACATTTGGCTAGCTCAATATGATGACTACTTGATAGTTTAGTGCACCATGCTTAAACGGCTTAGAATCGGGACTTCAAAGACGTTTTGAATGTCATGGACCATATGAGATGTTTCAGGAGTTGAAGTTAATATTTCAAGAAAATACCCGAGTTGAGAGATATGAAGTCTCCAACAAATTCTATAGCTAAAAGATGGAGGAGAATAGCTCAAGCAGTGAGCATGTGCTCAGATTGTCTGGGTACTACAATCGCTTGAATCAAGTGGGAGTTAATCTTCTAGATAAAATAGTGATTGACAGAATTCTCTAGTCACCATCACCAAGTTAGTAGAACTTCGTGATGAACTATGATATGCAAGGGATAACGGAAATGATTCCCAAGCTCTTCGTAATGCTGAAATCGACGAAGGTAGAAATCAAGAAAAATATCAAGTGTTGATGGTAGACAAGACCACTAGTTTCAAGAAAAGGGCAAAGGGAAGAAGGGTAACTTCAAGAAGAACGGCAAGCAAGTTGCTGCTCAAGTGAAGAAGCCCAAGTCTGGTCCTAAGCCTGAGACTAAGTGCTTCTACTGCAAAGGGACTGGTCACTGGAAGCGGAACTGCCCCAAGTATTTGGCGGATAAGAAGGATGGCAAAGTGAACAAAGGTATATTTGATATACAGATTATTGATGTGTATTTTACTAGTGTTCGTAGCAACCCCTCGGTATTTGATACTGGTTCAGTTGCTAAGAGTAGTAACTCAAAACGGGAGTTGCAGAATGAATATAGACTAGTTAAGGGTGAAGTGATGATGTGTGTTGGAAGTGGTTCCAAGATTGATATGATCATCATCGCACACTCCCTATACTTTTGGGATTAGTGTTGAACCTAAATAAGTGTTATTTGGTGTTTGCGTTGAGCATGATTATGATTTGATCATGTTTATTGTAATACGGTTATTCATTTAAGTAAGAGAATAAATTGTTGTTCTGTTTACAT